CAGAACTCTAAGCACCTGAGAGAGAGTGGGCACCTCCCAGAACATTGTTTTGTGCCTCTCCCAACAGAAATATTCCAGGTGGACACCTTCAGCAATCAGGAGCTCCTCAGTTGCTCATAGCAAATCCCACCTTGGAGTTTACAAAGACTTATGGGTAGAAAAGCCACACAAAATAATTTACTACACTGCAAGCTTATATATAGAGAGCGAAAGAGAAATTTATCTTAGGAAAATGGCTCACACACTTATAGAAGCTGGCAAGTCCCAAGTTCTTGGATCAAACGTCAAGCTGGAAGCTTTTCCCAACTTACGCAGCTGCAGGGGCTGAGGATCTCAAGGTTGGCAGGCAGTATACTGGCTGTTGACTCCAATGAATGATGAATACAAGATCTCCAGGCCGAATGGTGGATTGTTTGCTCACGGACGGTTGTAGGCAGCACAACAGAATCCCGATCCACAGAAGAATGTCTCTTTTCCCAGGATGTCCATAAATATATTGGAAGCAGAGCACACCCCTAGGAAAACTCTCTTTCAGTGGATTGGCTGCTCAAAACATATACATCTGATCCCATCATTGGACAACCCACATCATAATTGCTTAAACCACACAGAATTGTGGTCCAGCTAAGTTGACACACAGCTCTAACTATCACACTCTCCTTTTCTCAGTTGTTCTTTCCCCATTAACTTTACCCCCATTAGGGGGCAGTTAGGGAGCTCTGGTAGCGTAGTGGCTAAGGCACTTGACTGCTAACCAGAAGGCCGGCGGTTCAAACCCACCAGCCACTCCCCGGAAGGAAGATGGGGCAATCTACTTCCGTAGTGATACTGCCCTGGAAACCCAAGGAGGGGTCGCTATGGGTCAGGTCTGACTCAACGGCACATAACAACAACAACAAGGGGGAAGTTAACTTACTGCCCCCTAAGATAATTGTCTTAACTGCTGTTTGTCAGTTTGATCCCATATAGATCTTAAAGGAGCATAATGTTCAAGGCAGACATTCTTTACTAGTATTGTATGGTTTGAGGAAAACTTCAAGGGGTATTTTTGTTTAAGATTTAAAGATTGTCTCAGGGAAGTATTTCAGAGGTTCATTCAGCCTCCATGACTCCAGAAATTCTAGAATACTTAAGAATTTGAAATTTTGTGCTTTGTCCCTTTTGATCCAAATTTTTATATAGATCATAATGTTCAGTAATTATAACCAGGCACCATCTAGCTCTTCTGGTCTCATGCAAAGGAGGCAGTTGTTACTGGAGGCGGTTAGCTTCACATTCCATTTCCTCCTCCTATTCCTGACTCTTTTTCTTCCTATATTGCTCCAGTTAAATAGAGACCAACTGTTGTGTCTTTGATGGCCACTTGCAACCTTTTAAGACCCCAGGCACTATGCAACAGACTAGGAGGTGGAAGAGAAACACTAAACATGTTATTAGGCCAATTAAGTGGCATGTCTCATGAAACTATGACCCTAAACCTCCAAACCAAGAAATTGAATTCCATGAGGTTTTTGGTTGTACATAAGCAGCCTCAGCAGCTATTCTTTTATTTTCATTGTTGTAAATGTATCTGTCATACCACTTTTGACAATTCTGTTTTTTTACAGGAATACAGTTTATTGACAGCAATTACAATAATTGGCTGTTCAACCCTCTTAATCAGTGTTACTTTCCCATCACTGTTAAGCTCCCCCCCTTTCCCTTTCCCTTCCATCCCAGGTAGCCACTAATACACTTTCATCTCTTTTCTTATCTTTTTATATAAGTAAGTTTATACTATAGTTCTGGTAGTGTAGTGCCTAAGGCACTTGACTGGTAACCAGAAGGCTGGTGGTTCAAAGCCACCAGCCACTCCTTGGAAGGAAGGTTGGGCAATCTACTTCCGTAGTGATACCGCCTCGGAAGCCCAAGGAGGGGTGACTATGAGTTGGGTCTGACTCGATGGCATATAACAACAACAATAACAAGGTCGTACTATATATTTCCTTTTGTGATTGACTTTTTTTCATTCAGTGTAATGCCTTCAAGTTCCATATTGTCATGTATGTCAAGACTTCATTTTGTCTACTGGCTGAATAGTATTTTGTTTTTTATATATACTACATTTGTTTATCCATTTATTCATTGGTGAGCATTTAGGGAATTTCTGTCTTTTGGCTATTGTGAATAGTGCTGCAGTGAACATTGGTGTACAAGTCTCTGAGTATCCGTTTTCAAGTCTTTTGGGTATATAGCTAGAAGTGGAATTGCTGTGTCATAAGGTAGTTCTGTTTTTAGTTGAGGAACGAACATACTTTTCCATAACAGCTGTAACATTTTGCATTCTCACCAGCAGTAGATAAGTGTTCCAGTTTCCCTATATCTTGGTCAATATTTGTTAATTCTCTTTTTCAATCTTAGCCATCCGAAGAAAATTGTATCTCATTATGGTTTTGATTTGCATCTCTCTTTTAGCTAGTGACATTGAGCATCTTTTCAAGTGTTTGGTGGCAATTTGAATGCCTCTTTTGTGAAATGTCTATTCAAGTACTTTGCCCATTTTATGATTGGGTTGTCTTTTTGTTGTTAAGTTGTCAATGTTTTATATATATTTTGGTTATTAGATTCTTGTCAGATACATGGTTTCTGAAGACATTCTTCCCATTAGTAGCTT